GGGGGCCCCCCCTGCCGGGCCACCCGCCCCTTCTCCCCTGAGCGGAGTGTTTATATTGCTCTTTTTAATCTTTCCTCCTGCCTGGCTCCTTCCTGCCTCTCCGGACACGCTGGGCTCTGAGTTATCACGACCCTGCTGCCGTTCCCACATGTGCTATTGTTCCCAGCCTGTCATGGGCAGGGGCAAAACATGGGACAACCCTCCTCCTCCCCCAGCTTTATTTGCTCTGACATCCCGGCTGCTGCTTCGAAGCAGAGGGCTTGGTCCAAGGCTGGAAAAATCTCCCCTCCGGATCTGTCTCTCAGGAAACGGCCTGGTTCTTATTACAGCCCACGGCACTTCTTACGGGAACTGTCTGATCCAAGAGGGGGATGCCTGGAGGGAAGGCCACTGGGTCCCATCAGACTCACCGGAGAGCGAGACCTCTCTGTGGAAACTTTACGCCAGAGGTGGGGAACCTTTGTTGGGTCGGGGGTCACTGACCCACAGAACAATCAGTCCGGGTCTGCAGACGAGTGAGAAACAAACAAAAATCACCTCTCACCAGCATGGGCTGCCCAATGCTGGAGAGCCCCAAACTACAGGGGCTGGATCCAGGAAAGCCGGGGGCTGCATCCGGCCCCCAGGCCTTAGATTCCCCACCCCTGCTTTAAGCCAACCCAAAGAACGTAAAATCATAAAAAACGACAAATAGTCTTGCAGCACCTTAAAGACGAACAACACACGTCGATGATATCGTGAGCTTTCGTGGGCATAACCCACGATTAAAGGGCCAGTTTTGAAATAAATAAGTTTTGAAGTAAATAAAAACTTTTGAAATACAAATTTTGAAGTGGGCTGTGCCCACGAAAGCTCATGATACCATCGACGTGTGTCGTTCGCCTTTAAGGGGCTGCAAGACTCTGTTGTTTTTTACATTCTCTGGGTTGGCTTAAAGCAGGGCTGGGGATGGAGGGAGGGGGAAAAAAGGAAAAAAAAGTCAATTAGAGCTGTGTTTCTCAACCAGTGGTACGAGTACCCTTAGGGGTACTTGAGAGGAGTCTGGGGGGACGTCCACACAACTGAAATGTGGAGAAAACGGAATTTTTGTTTTACGTTTTACAGCGTTTGATTATTTCTGTACTTTTTACACCCAGGAATTTCATTGCCTGCCTGGCTACGATTAAGTCGTTTAAACAAATGTGTTGCAATGGCAGAAAAAAATGGTGTGTGTCTGAAAACTGTAGGTGCTCGGGGTAAGTATATATATATATTTTTAATGGGGGACCTTATTTAAAAGGTTGAGAATCACTGACTGCGAGTCTCCGTGCTACATGAAGCTGGTAGAGAAGTTGCATAGCGTTCTTAAGTACCCATTGTTTGGTTTTTATGTCATTAGGATGTGGAATGTACCGGGGCCATCTAGATAATGTCCTTTATTCATA